AGAGAGAGAGAGAGAGAGAGAGAGAGAGAGAGAGAGCGGGTGAGGGGGGAGGGATCCAAGGTTATAGAAATATCGTTAGATAGATATCAACAAAATTAGGCAGATAGGTAGACACGCAGACAATCAAACAAATAGTGTGGAAAATTCACAGGTAGAATTAAAAACAGAACAAAAATAGGAGCATAGACAGACAGACGAAAGACAGGCACAGGACAAACAAACATGGATAGAAACGGCTGACAGACAGACATTCCAGAGAGAGCACTGAAGACTTAGTGGGCCTAAGGCAATTAAAGTAATTTAGTTTTTTTAAAAAATAGTTCACTGTCGATTTTGAGTGCTCAGCCTGACGAGTTATCCGCTACCATAATGCAAAGTTAACCCAGAATCGATTTAGGCTTGAGATTAGGTGTTTGGAAAGATATTTTTTCCTCTTTGTCCCTTGACGTAGATCTATATATATAATATATATTCATATTACTCGATATCTTTTCCAATACATTCTACTTGAGGTGATAGTTGATAAAAGCATTTTATTTTAGTTTTGATAGGTTTTGATTTTACCTTTTATTCAGCACATTATTTCCTCCCATGATCAGCACATAATATAAGGCTTTCTTTCTTCCCTCAGTCATTGTAGAGTCAATACTAACGCTGTGTTTCGTTGCTGTCTCAGCTCTGCAGCATGTAAAAATAATCATCTCTATCTAGATCTAAGTAAACTTTGTACCCTTCCTTCCCCATTCTCAAAATGAATTAAAAGCCTCTTTCTATCCCCCCCCCCCCCCCCCCCCCCCCCAACCCCAAGTAGAGCGGAGACTCCGGATATGCGTACTAGGTCAAGTAAGCTCCAAATGGATGGCTAAAGTTTACTGACTCGGCTTCCACAGACGCCTGTTCACCATAATGTATCAGAGTACAGGTTATCAATTAGTAATGAGTCTTGTGGTGGTGTGCACTTGGTCAACTTGTTACCGACAAAAATAAAAACCCAAACCAAAACAACAACAAACAAAAATTTACCCCCCCCCAAATATAAAAGCCCAAATAAAAGAAGAAAAGAGAAATGGGAAAAAAGAACAAAAAGCCCCCCAAACCAGCTAAATTCTAACGTGTTAGCATTTTATTTGCTTTTAAGGGGG